TATATTCCTTCCATCTTCTTTTAATACTTCCTGGATCATTTAATATTCTGCCCAAAGCATCCTTGATTACAGCAACTCGTGGTTTGAATTTGTTCTTCAGTTCCTTGAGCTTAAGAAATGCCGAGCGAGTTCGGCCCTTTTGATTTTCTGACTGTACCTCCTCGCACATTTCATTGTCGTATTTTGCTTTGTCATTCCGAGCAGCCTTTTGGAATCTTCTGTTCAGCTCTTTAGTATCTTGAATTCTTCCTTGTGCTAGGAGAGAAAAAACTGACTGTAGGTTTTCTTATGCAGTAATATCGATGGACCACTTCCAGGTCTAGAGCGAACTTCTGATCTGTCTGATATCAGCTGAGCAAGTAGACATTTAATGACCCAATAAATATGTAAACCTTTAATTATACACACACATTTTAAATTAGGAGACCTGGTGAGGTAATGACTTAGAACTGAACAAAAACAGACAGTTCAAACCTACCAATAACCCTGTAATAGAAGGATTTATCAATCTTCTCTTCTTGAGATCCTCACCTACTCAGGGCCATCTGGTCTGTTCGGAACTCCAGAGTGTTTCTAAAGCTGTAAATCACAAGAGGAGCTCCCTCCTCTTCCTCCCTCAACAGACATGCAGCTTGGCAGGGACCCAGCTCCCCACAAACTATGACACCAAAGGTCTTCTTAGGGACTGAGCCTAGGAGACTCTAGAGAGTGCATGGACTTAGTCCATAGGGAACTGTTCTGACAACTCATAAGTGACACTTGTCTGTCACCTCAAATCCACCTGGAGCTCCACAGGAGACAGATGGCCTTCTTCTCCTACGTAAGTTGTTGATGTTGTTAGGTGCCGCTGAGTTGTAGGCGACTCATAGTGACCCTACGAATGAAAGACATAGACACTCGTGTAACTTTCATCCTTTTTCCACGTTCGTAGAGTTTTCCAAGACAAGCTACTATGGAAGTGGATTCCACTCCTGCTTCCAAGCTTGCTTTAATCGGGGAGCTCCACCAAACACCGTCCACCATGGGTAACCATTATTGCATTTGACACATCAATGTCACAGTGTTCAGCTTCACAGTAACCACGAGTTACCTCTGTACAGCAGGTGGACAGACCAGGGCTGTACGACCTTTGGCTTTGGAGCATGACTTTCTATCCATGTGATTTACATTCTCCAAAACCCTGCTGGGGTTCAGTTATGAGCAGGTTCCGACACAAATGGCAATGAGTTGTTGTTGTTCTATAGAGATGCCAGGAAGCCCTGGTGTTAGAGTCCATCCAGAGTTGTACTCCTAACCCAAGAGCTGTGACACTCTGACAGATCAAATCCACCAGCTTCTATGAGGGAGAAAGGTGGGTAATTTGCCCCAGTTTGTTATACAGACTTTGAAGCCTGTTCCAGGGGCCTATGAGTGTGCTGCAACTCCCCCGGTCACTGCCTGTGCGTGAGTGACTGACTGACTGACTGACTGAGTAACTGGGGTTATGAGCCACCCTGAGTTGTAATCAACACAACACAAAAGAAATTATTTCATTATAGTCTGTGTCTGTCACAAGAAAATGAATTTCAAAAATAAGATTTTAAAGTAACAAGTAATTCTTTCAGTAATTAAATTTTAACTCTTCACATAGTGTGGGTCCATATGTAAGTAAGAATTATCCAAATATAGTTATTATCTCAGTGGCACCTAACAACAACAACAATGTATTTTATTATTCACACCCAAGTATTATTCACAAGTATTATTCACACCCAAGGTCTCATTATACAACACAGTAGTAATTATAGTAATATTCTACAAAAATCACCAGCTTTGGCAAATGAAGGCACTAATCTCTCCCCAATTCTAAAAATCACAGTTGTATATCACTGAGGGAAAATTTATAATAATCTGAATGAAGCACAAGAAATTATTTGACAGCACAATCTGTTGCAGGAAATAAAATTTTTAAAAAATTGCCAGACATGAAATTCTACACAGGGAGAAAAGAAAAGGTTACATTTCAGTCCATAGTTTGAGGAAAAATTGACAGACAAGATGTAAATGCACAGTAACTCAAACAGATATATACAAAAACATGTCCTAATACTGTATATACAAGGCGCTCAGTGGCGCACAGGTAGGGAGTTACTCTGCCCACTCAAAGGCACACAGTTTGAATCCCCCAGCTGCTCTGCAGGAGAAATTCGGCAATCTACTTTTGTGTCAGTTACTGACCCTGAAGACTCACTACAGGTCAGTTATGAGTTTGTTCTAACTCAGTGGCACATAATAACAATATTGTATGTATAGGGAGCTCTTGTGGCCTAGTGGGTAAAGAGCTGTACTGCCAGTGCCAAGGTAGGTGGTTTGAATCCACCAGTTGCTCAACCCAAAGGCTTTCACTGCCAACCAAATGGCTTAGAGATCAAATTCACCAGTTGCTTCATGAGAGAAAGATGAGCAATCTCCTCCCATGTTGTTTATACCCTCTGCAAACCAGTTGGAGGGTGAGCTATGAATCAGTTCTGACTCAACAGAATAGTATGACAAAACTGTGTATACACACACACACACACACACACACACACACACACTATTGTAAGATGAACAGCATATTAGCACCACATAGACATATTCATATTCTACTGAACATTTGCATAGGTATTCTTACTTCACTAAATTTTCTCACTTTAAAAATACTTATGGAAGTAAAAGAAATAACTAAAAGATGATGTAAGCAAGATAGATCGTGTAGAAGATAACTGATGCACAAATGAGAGGGTGGGATTTTGGGGTAAATGTTTTAAATGCTGTAGAGTCGTAGATGACTCATAACAACCCTAGGAACAAAAGACTTGAACACCTGTATAACTTTTATCATTTCTCCAAGTTCATAAGGTTTCTGGAGGCAAGCTATTTCAGAAGTGGATGCCACTCCTGCTTCCAAGCTTGTTTTAATTGGGGAGCTCCACCAAACATTGTCCACCATTGCAGGAGGTAGAAAAGACCCATTATAACACAACAAATAGTTTTCAGATATTTAAATGTAAAAAAAACCCCAGACTTTTAAAAAGATTTTTAAACAGTACAAGAAGGAATTAATGTAGACTTTAACATGTGAAGCAAAGTTGAAAAGTGAAGCAACCTATCTATGATTCAGGAAAAGAAAAAAAGGAGGATCGTGGAGGTCGTATTTTCACAGACTTCCTAACATAAAATACCTTGCTACTATGTCTTCTCCATTCCAGCAGGGTAGCCCATCAGCAGCAGCGAACTCATTCACACAAAGCTGGTCCGCCAGGCCTCCGTAGAATGTCCTGAACAGTCGAAGGCTGTTGATAAATTCCCTGAATCAAAGAAAAAGAAAATTAACACAAAAAATTCACGATGAAGGCCAAGGTAAAGGGCAAAGTAAGGTACATACAACATTCAGAATGTAATTTTTCTTTTTTTTTTTTGTAATTATTTGCATATCTCTGGGTGGAACAAACTCTGTACACCTGGAGGTCTGGGTCTTTTAAAAATTACCTCCAAAGGAAAACCTATTCGGAAAGGATATAACCTTGATGATATCTTTCCTGATTTGAAACTGTGCACTATTTCCTTGTTCTGTTGAAATAACTGCTTCTGAGTCTACACACAGGTTTCATATGAGAACAATTAGGTGGGTGCTGGAATTCTCTGTATTATCTATATGTATAATGGATCAGTCCAGTTGAATGCTTTTGCTTAGACAATAAAGCACAAATCAGTATCTTTCTCGTATTCTCTGTTTTCAGCAAATAGGCATCCAATTTTTCTTCTGAAAAATCAGCCGTTGGAAATGCTAAGGAGCAGTGCTTCCCTCACCCAGACCAGGAAACACCAGGAATCTCGTCTAGTCCACAGCAAGCAGTTTGGCTTTGATACTGGTTTTACTGTTCTGTGTATTATATATTATTCTAACATTTGAAACAAAACATGTTCTATTTAAAAAAAAATAGAAGTATTCAAATTTATTATGGATAAGTTTTCACTGAGTCTGAATATTGTGTCTCTTGAGATCCAAGAAGCAGAGAATCTCTCTCTGTGTCGTGTTCTCTCTCCCTCTCATTCACACACACATCCCCCTCTTTCTCCAAAACACCTTACTAGATTTTGGCATATAAATCACAGTGACAATTGCTTTTCTTTCCATGTACGAAATGTCAGATGCTCACAACATCACTAAGGCCGGCATGCTGATCAAACCTTTAGTTCACTTGGTTTATCTTTTTTTTTTCTACTTAGATTTTTCTCAATGATACACAAGAATATAAAGTAACATTTTTTACAAATATAAAAGAATTATCCATATAAATAAGTTGTTTCAGGAACATGAGCAAAAAAATTATTGGAGTAAATACTGTTTTAATATACAAAATAAGATTTTTTTCTTTTCACATTACTACTTTATCTTGATTAACTCTAAGAGAGAAATTTCAACAAATACATTTTTTTATTAATTTAGTTTGTTTATTTTTCATTTCAATGAACATCTACAGAGATTTTGGAATTCCATTCATTCATTGTTGCACCCTTTTCCCCACACAAACCGCTCCCCCCTCCCCCCCTTTGCTCCTTTCCTTGAAAAGCAAAAGAAAAACTCCCTCATTGGTACACAATCCCCCAGGCACCTCCCCAAATCCCACCCCCTACCCCCAAATATAATCCACTCTGCAACTCTCATTGCATACTCCTACAATAAAAATAATACCCTTAAAGATAATACTTTTAGACTATTCTCTCCCCCATAGACTTCAATGCCGTAAACATATTTCATCCTGTTTTCCTCAGACTTACCCCCACCCCAATGCCAGCCTCATACATATATTTTTTAAAACACAAAAACCAAAAGTTCTAAGTTTTAACAATGGATCAGGTTCCCAAGACCTTGACTTGTAATTTCACTAAAGATCACGCCTTAAATACATTACTTCTGAAATTCTTTTCATGTAAAAAAAGGTTCAGGAAAAAAGAAATTAAAAAGCTCTAAAAGGATGAATTAATATTGGGCATAGATCAATGGTAATTGATTTTATAAAGCACAATATATATGAATGACTATATGAAACACAATATGACTGAAGGAATGCATGAAACACAATATACTTGAATGAAACACATGATACATGAATTTTTATATGCAAAAAATAAAACTTTTTAAAAATGTAAAGATAATAATTAAAATGTTCTACTCTAGAAGGGGAATTGATGCCTTTGAGCTATGGTGCTGGAGAAGAGTATTGAAAATACCATGAACTGCTAGGAAAACAAACAGATTCATCCTGGAAAGGGTTAAACCGGGCGGCTCCTTGAAGGCAAGGATTCTGAAGTTCTGTCTAACATACTTTGGACATGTTGTAAGGAGGGACTGGTCCTTGGAGAGGGACATCATGCTTGGGAGGGTGGAGGGACAGCACAGGAGGGGAAGGTCCTTTATGAGGTGGATTGATTCAGTGACTGGGGTAATCAGGATGGGTGTATCGGAGACAGTGCAATTGGCACAGGACAGAACAGAGTTTAGGGCTGTTGTACATAGGGTCGCTATGAGTTACAAGTGACTCAATGGCACATAACAACAACAACAACTCTAGAAAGTCTGCAGCCAGGGACCTCTCCAAATTATTGAGGAGCAATGAAGGTGTGCCTGATTCAGATGTTTTTTCAATCACTCGTTATACATTTAAGGGCTGGACGTGAGTAAGAATGACAGAAGAAGAACTGATGCCTTTGAACTCTGGAGTTGGAGAAGATCACTAAACATCCCATGGACTGCCAAAAGAATAATCAGGTAGGTCTTAGAGAGGGTGTAGCTAGAGTGTTCCTTGGAGCCAAGGATGATAAATCTTTGTCTCACATAATCTGGGCATGTTGCTAGGGGAGGCTATTCCTTGGAAAAGGACATCATGCTTGGAAGGATGGAGGATTAGTGAAAGAGAAGAAAATCTTTAACCAGCTGGACTGATACAGTGACTGCACCAATGGGCTCAAGCCAGAGATTTTGAGTATGGCACAAGATAAAAAAGAGTTCAGATCTCTTGTTCATGTTGTTGTTGTTATGCACCATCGAATTGCCTCCAACTCTCAGTGACTCAGTGTACAAGAGCTCTGAAGCTTGCCCTGTCCTGAGCCAGTCTCACAGACTCTGACACTCCTATCCACATTGCCCCAGTCACTGTATCAACCCATTTCATCTGAAGGCTTCTTCTCCTGTGCTGTCCCTCTACCCTTTTGAACATAATGATCTTCCCTAATGACTGATCTCTCCTGACACCCTACCCAAAGTATGTGAGATAGAGCCTCAAAATCCTAGCCTTCAAGGAGAAACTTGATTTCACCCTCTCCAAGACAGCCCTATTTGTTGTCTCGGAGGACCCTGGTATGTTCAAGATTCTTCTCCAGCACCACAACTCAAAGACTTTGTTTCTTCTCTTATCCTTAGTCATTGCCCAACTCTCGGATGCATAGCAAGTAATTATGAAGACCATGGCCTGGATCAGGTGCATCCTAGTCTCTAGACTGACGTTATTGCTTCTCAGTACTGTGGAGAGGTCCCTGAGAGCAGATTTTCCCAGTGCAATTCATCATTTGATTTCCTGACTGCTAGCACCAAGAATTGTTGATTGTGGAGGCAACCTAGCTGTAGTTGTAACAACATCAATTTCTTCTCCATCTATCATGGCGCTGCCAACTGGCCCAGTGGTGACAATCTTGGTTTTCCTGATGTTGAGCTTCAACCCATATCAAAGACTACAGTCCTTGACCTTCTGCAGCAAGTGCTTCAGATGTTCCTCAGTTTCAGCAAGCAGGTTTGTGTCATCTGTATAATGCCATTGAGTCTTCCTCCAATCCTGATACCACATTCTTCCTCATAAAGCCCAGTCTCCCAAATGATCTGTTCTGATTGAAAAGGTATGGATACAGGGTGCATCCCTAACACATTCTATTACTGATTTCAGATCATGCAGTATTTCCTTGCTTTATTTTGTGGCCTGCTTTCTGGTCTGAGTATAGGTTTCACATGAGCACAGTCAAGTGTTCTGGGATTTCCATTCTCCTAAAAGATTAGCCATGATCTGTTGTGATCCACACAGTAAAATACCTTGGCGCTGTCAATGACACACAGATAGACATTCCTCAGGTATGTTTTGCTTTTTGTCAAGATCCATCTGACATTGGCAATGTCTCTAGTGCCACAGCCACTTCTAAACCCAGCTTGTATTTCTGGTAGTTCTCATCAATCTGTTCAAGCTGGTTTTGAATAATCTTCAGCAGGATTTTGCTTGCATGTGATATTAGTTATTTTGTAAAATAATTTCCACACTATGTTAGGTCACCTTTCCTTTTTTTTTTTTGAATGGGAATAAATATAGATCTCTTTTAGTCACTGAGAGTTGTCCTACAGATTCCTTGGCATAACCTGGAAAGCATATCCAGGACAGTATCTATTTGTTGAAGTATGTCTATTGGAGTCAATCAATTCTTGGGGCCTTAGTTTTTTGCCAAGTCCATCAGAGAAACTGCACTTCCTCCGTCATCATGATTGCCTCTTGATAATATGTTGTTTCTTTAAATTCTTCTGTGTCAGCCAGTTCTTTCTAATACAGTGACTCTACATACTCCTTCCATCTTCTTTTTTAAAAATCTGTACTTGTTTATTTACAAAATTATAATACACTTTTTTCAGACCAGATTCTTCCCATTTCCCTCACCCCACCCCATGCACCATATTGCACAGTCCCATGACTAAACTTCCCTCCCCACCCAAGCACACCCTCATCCCTCTGCTTCCACCCTCGCCCTCTCTTGGATCTTCATATTCATTCTCCATCTTCTTTTTTGTTTATTTTGTTTATACATATTGTGTTTCATGTTGTTATTGTTGTTATGTGCTGTCGAGTCGTTTCCGACTCATAGCGACCCTATGCACAACAGCCCTAAACCCTGTTCTGTCCTGTGCCAATCTCATTGCCTCTGACACACCCATCCCGATTACCCCAGTCACTGAATCAATCCACCTCATAGAGGGTCTTCCCCTCCTGCGCTGTCCCTCCACTCTGCCCAGCATGATGTCCCTCTCCAAAGACCTGTCTCTCCTTACCCCAAAGTATGTCAGACGAAGCCCCAGAATTCTTGCCTCCAAGGAGCAGCCTGGTTTAACCCTCTCTAAGATGAATCTATTTGTTTACTTGGCAGTCCATGGTACATTCAGTACTCTTCTCCAGCACCACAGCTCAAAGGCGTCAATTCTCCTTCTATTTCATTCTTTTATTCACATTGTATCACAGTATCATTTCCCATACATTGTGATTTATGAAATTAATCA